TTACCTTGTACTCAAGTTTCTTGGGCATAGTTGAGAAATATTTTTATATACACATACATTTTGTAGCAAATTTTTAAAATAAATATATTCCTAATTTGCCATATATAAATATTTCCTAAATAATTTCTACTAGTTCACTTAGCTTAAGTTGTGGCGAATTGACAATAACTTTAAAGTTGTTTTACTAAAACTCCACATAAAAATCATACTCAATTCTACTTCCCTATCGCTTATATACCCACTCTAAATCATTGGTCTAGGTCACACATTTTGTAAATTCCAAGCATTGCTCAGCCCAAGCACGCTTCAAGCGTGCCTATTAGAAATTCCAGGCATAGAGCCTTCGCCTAAGCATTGACGTTTATTGACACTTAACTCCGCTACGTTTCAGAGCCGAGTGAGGGTCATAGGAAGTGCCTGCAAACAAATGAAATGTGATTTCTGTCATAGTTGCTGTTGTTGCCGACGTTGTTGTTGTTTCTACTGCTGTAGTTGTTGTTCTGGACAATGATGACAAATGGCTTCCATTTCCTTTTTGTTGTTGATTGTAGTCAATATCGGTTGCGATGATGTCGCTGCCAAAAATAAGAAGGCAAGCAGGAATGTGTTAATCAATTGTAGACGACTGCTAAATGCTCGCTTGAAGCTCCAAAGGAGCTGAAGAATGGAATAGTCGATAAAGCTTACATGTTCAGCTCTCACATCTTAGCATTTTCACATTTATATGATCTTTACTCTTTTATTTAAAGTTTCGATTCGCCGACTTTGGAGAATATTTCACATATTTTGAACGACTGGCCATCCAAATATACTCCTTTGGCAAGCCAATCGGGCGGGCATAACAATGATGTTCAGGTCTCAGTTTCTCATTTTTGGGGTATGCCAAAATTGCAATGATCGTGTATTTGAGTTTCGTTTTTGGCATAGGGTATACGACGAAAAAATGCGCTAATTACACGCACTCGAGCACTCGTTAATTGAAGTTGTCAACAGGGGCAGCATGAAATATGCGCTGCGAATGCGCAAATGTTGATTTTTTTGGTTGAGTTTCTGTCTCTGTATGCTGGTTAAATCAAAAGGCCTCCGCCTCCGATCATGGGCAAGGGCATGCTGCCGCCCAATTATCTGTGAATTGAACTAAAAAACAAAATGGTGAAGAGACAAAGAGAGAGAGAGAGAAAGAGAGAGTGAGTGAGTGAGGTGGAGAAGAATGAGATCTGTTGGCAATGGCGCCATTAATTATCACAAAAACGGATACATTTCTTCATAATTAAGCGGGTGAATGACATGTGCTGGCAGACGGACGGCAGGTGAAGAGCCCCGGCAGTGGCTGCCAGTGAGGCAGTCAAGTGAGCTGAAGGGAGCCCAGCCAATCCAATCCATGCAAAGGTGACCAGCCTAATGACAACATCGCTTCCGACTCGCTGCACAACTGCAGCTGCCAGCAGACGGCAGCCAGCTACAGCTTTGGCTACAGCTGCAGCTTGAGCTCCCGCTCCATGGGCTCCATTAGCCGGAGTGATGCAGCGGCTAATAGAGAAGCATTACTCATGCCCAGCAGGACATCGTTATGGCCGCGTGTGTCTAGGCCACAAGGAATACATTTGACCATGGCCAAGTGCGTTTGCAGCCATACTCCATGCTCCATGCTCCACAGTCCGCAGTCCACTCTCCATGCTCAGTGTGCGTTCGAGCTAAACATGCAATTGAGAAATTTATTAAAAATCATTTTCATTAATTTGGTTATTTATGCACAGGATCAAACATTCAATTAGGCTGATGTTATAAATCTCGCATTCATTTTTCACATGCTACGGCCACGCGTTGCATCTATAAATCACAGCGCTAGCAACTGTTGCAACTGCAACTGCAACTGCAACTGCAACGAGCTGCTGGCAGCCCACGGTTTTCTGCGGCATCTGCAAACTATTTTACCTTCCATTCGGCAGTCCACTTTTTTGCCTATATTTTAATTGTCAATAAAATAATAAAAGCAAATCGATTGGGCCTCATTTTATTTATTTATTTTGCCTTTTTGCATTGACTTCTTCGGTTTCGAAAGGTTAAAAGTGAAAGATCTCCTGCTGACTCGCAACAATGACAAAATGCTTTATGAACTACGAGCTTGTTGCATTGTTTTGTTTCTGTTTCTGTTTTTTTTTTTTCGTTTATAAATTTTTTATTTATTTGTCATGTTCGGCACGAAAAATGAGAGTAATAAGATGCACAAAATACGATAAAAAAAAAAAAAATAGCGAACAAAAACTAAATCTTTGCTGCTCTTGCAAACATTCGTATGCTCTTTTTTTTATGACAACGAATGTTCGCCGGGACCAACCAGTTTAGTTTTATAGTTAGCTTGTGCCATAAAGTGGGGAAAAACAAACTAAAATTTCTTTTATATATTTACGTATATATAGCTGTAAAACCGACTGTAAATGTGGCCAAAAACAGCTAATTCTCTATTGTTCAGTTCGGCTTGAAAAATGTGTTAAGGGCGCATAAAAGTTATGGAGCTAATGCTTGTGCTTGGCTAGAGGAAAGCTGGCTGAATATAGAGTGCATAGATGTATATGTATTTTATTTTTGTATATATGGAATTGTTGGATCATTCTTATTTGGCAAGACAGTTTCATTGATTTCAGATGGAGTATGAAAATTTATAGTGTATATAAATGATATATCACATGTTCTATATCTAAAACTGAGTTAATTCTCGTGTAGTCCCTTTTTTATATAAAGATATAATTAAAGTATATATTACTTTTAATGTATGTAAAATATTCTCTCCATCATTTTATATGTCTGAAAATATCTTATATATTCTACATCTATCTATAGATAGAAACATCGATTGTATGCCACAATCTTAGATGACAACAAATTAAGTAATCCAATAGCCAGTAGAGTATATAAGCCTCCATTACAGTGAATATTTCCTATTTGCATACCCTGAACCAAACCTATTCAGCGACTCATAAAGCAAAAGCCTTGTTGTGATTACAAATCGTTGGAAATAAGACAAAAAGGCCGTTGCCAATAAATTGACAAAGGCAAATCAGTTAACGAAAAATAGTTAAACAAAAGGAAAAACTGCAACAAATTTGGGACATTTGTTGAGCTGACCTTTGGCTGACCTTATGCCCAGCGAAAAGTAAATCTCAGCTGGTCGGCAGCTGAGCAGGAAGTGCGCGATTGGCGGCGGCTTTATCGATTGGCCCCAATCAAACTTGGGTGGGTAACGCGCAGATTTGCTGCATATACGTATGTATGTATGTATTATGTACATATATCGATATGTGTATGTGTATGTATGTTCGTCTGGCTAGATCATAAAAATCAACTTAATAAAAGCGAAATCAGGCGAGTGCCGGCTGCTCGGAGTTGTTGGTCTGCTGTTGCTGTGCATCATCAAAAAGCCGACAATTGGGGCGTGGCGCGACTATCAGCACGGCCCGGCCCCCATTTTGTGAGATGCCTGTGCATTGGCTGTGGCCACAATTTTTCGATATAATAAATTGCATAGAAACATAAATTTAATTTTTTAACGCCCCAGAACGACAAGCACTAGCTGCTGCCCTAGCATAACAATTAAGACATCAGCGGAGCGAGACGGAGCTAAAGAGAGAGAGAGAGAGTGAGGGAGAGAGAGAGAGAGAGAAAGACTGATAGAGATAGCTGCTGTTGTTGTTGTTGTTCTTTCGTTGACAAAATGGTGGAATTAGGTAAATAATAACGCCGCACTCAGCGACAGCTCTCGGTTTTACAATAAATGGCGCTTTAGTTGTCGCTTTTCGCACTCTCACATTTTTCACGCAAGTGAACACAAAAGGCGCGCCCTTGATCCGCCCCAGCTTGACAGCCATATGTTTGGCCCGGCATAGTCTTTTGAGCATAATCATAACCATACAGAATACACAAGCTCATAACGTTCCGCGCAAGCGCAATGTGTACACACCACAAACACACACACACACACACACACACACACACACATAGAGGTAGTGTGGCACTGCTGGAGTTGATGGCTCTGCTTGCGCTGTGCGTCGTCTGATTGATGACTTTCATTTGCCATTCGGACAGGGCTACATTAATATCAACAACAGCGTCCTTCACTCCTAGCCAGAGCCAGCCGCTTGCTGATGAGCAGCAGCAGCATCCGCGGCATCCTCTCGCTTTCGGGGCGTCACAATTGTGCAGGGAACACCCAGGAATTTGAGGCATTTTATGGACCGGTGTTTGACTATTGCATCGCGAGTGTTTGCACAGCCATCCACAATCCACAAATCCACTTTCCATTAGGTACACATGCGAACATAATCGTTCTGGGCCGTGTTAAATTTATGAGTACTCGTATTTAGTTGTAGTCACTGTTTGTTTCTACACTTATCAAATCGAAGCTTCTTAACTGGCAGGAACTGTAGGGAACAGAAGTCAAGAGTTGTAAGCTACACAGAAATTTATAATGGAATAAGTTTTTTAGATGATTTTTTCTATATTTTCTATATTTTCCTGATGTATTTAGAGTGTCTTTAGGTGATATATACATATATATAAGTATATTAAATTTATTAATAAGTGTTAGTTATGCAGAAAGCTGTCTTTGACAGTATTTATTTTGCTAGATCTCACTCACTTTTTTTCTGTCTATGTACATCTTTCTCTCATTCGCTGTCTCCTTCTTCTTTTATCTTCCTCATTTTAAGGATTTTTTATATTTCCATTTCTGAAACTCTATTTACAATCGTCTGTCTGCATACATATATTGCTTTTTTGGTTCTTAGCGATGAATTATTATATTTCATATAAGTTATTTGGCTGTCTCTCAAAGATCTCAAGAGTTACCAATAGGATTCAGCTTTTGCTCATAAACTAACTGAAATTCAATTCAAATATACATTTTTTATTTACCACAACTCTATCCAAAGTATCAATTTAGTTTGGTTATTCTCATAGATGAACAACATTTATTGTTGTAGTGGTGGCGTCGCCGATAAGTAAAAAGACCGGGTTGTAATTTCCTCGTCTTTATTTCTTAGATTAAAGCTGTGTTGCTCGTATAGCATTAGTAAAGATATACATGTCGTCAATACCAGGAGAGGCAAGTGACCCTGGAGGGGGGACGAGGTACTCCGCGGGGCGCCGAGTACAGCGAACCAGTAGGAGAACTGGGTTATGTTATTAACAGAGTGCTGTTAAT